TTCAGTCTAGATTTATGTATCTAGAAAAGATATACCATTTTAAATTTATAGATGAAACAGTGCTCCTAAAAGTAGATGATACGCACTTGGGACAGATAAAAATGCTGTGGGTGGATATAAATGTTATAGTTTTCAATTACTGTATATCTCAAATTACACCTGTATGACTTGTATGTTTTATAAATTTCCCATAGTTTCAACTGATCTAGCATTTTATAATTCCATTGCTATTTAATTTAAATGGATATACCACTTATCACTTCTTGGATAAATTTTTGCTTAACTGCTTTCATAATTCAACCAATTTAGTGAAAGTTTAAACAAGCAAACAAAAACAAGAGCTAATCTTAAGCATAGGTTTAAGAGAAACTTTGTTATAGGTTATGGTACTTTGGAATTTTATCATATTCCTATATCCTGGGAGTTAACTTGACCAGCAAGTCTAATTAAATATGAGTAATAATAAACCTGATTATGATGGATTTGTATATTGACTTTTTTTATTTGAACAATTGAAAAAATTGACAATTAAAATGATTTGAATATATCTCAAGATACCTAATATTTATGGTGGCTTGTAATTTATCTTTATTGAAAAGGGCAGACCTCATGAAATATTAAAGTATGTTCTTCCTTTTGGGGGAGAAACCAGCAGTCATGCCTATTTAGTTTTGATTCAATACCAGCAGCAAGATTACTGAGTACATTTTACTTTTAAATATTAAAAGTAATTTTATTTTTGCATCTCTGTTCAGACACAGAAATTTACTTTTCTCACAGATCAAGGATGGCAGTGAGAATCATGCATGTTTTAGATAATTAAAAAAATTCCTCTCAACTGTACGTCCCTATGAAAAGGGAAGCATCATTAATTGGCATCATACGTGGCATTCACACGACCGTCAGAAAGTCTTAAAAGTGTGAGATTTGTCAACCCACCAAAGTAGCCCACGGTGTCGCCCAGTGCAGCCTTTTTAGACTGGGAGGTGAGTTCAAGAGCTGTTTGTTGCTGCGAGCTTGACCCAGGGAGGATCACTGTTTGACACGTTCTATTTTAAGTCGTGCCCGAGTGTGCAGGTGTCAGCCTCTTTCATGGCTGTAGAAAAAGAACCATCACACTCCATCCGTATCCTTCTCCCAACAATGAAGGATCGTACTACCCCGGTGCGTTTGTTCCTGCTTTGCCAGCCACTTTTTCTTTAGGAAATTCCAGGAAGGGCAGGCGGACAGGACTGCGAGGTAGGGCGAAGAGGGGCAGAAAGAGGTCATCTGCCACTCCCCAAGACATACAAGGCACGTGGTACCGGCAGTAGCAGCAGCTGAATGCAACAACGAAGAGGATGAACCTCCTCCTAGCAAAAGGATATTGAAAGGAGGAGGTGGCGGCGAAGGCAATACACGCACACCGTGTCCTTCCCCCTGGGGAGAATGCACCCTCAAGGGAAAAACCACAAGGAAGCCACTACCCGCCCCGCCTCTGCCAGCTTGCCCCAGTGTCTGGCAGCAGTCCCCATGCACCTGCTCACCTGTCTATCCGTTCAGGGTGGCTGGGGGAGGGACTAGGGGTGTCCGGGTGGGTGGGTGGGAAGAGGAGGAGGGCAGGGCAAAAGAGGGGGTGCACCGAGGGCTCCGCCCCCTGAGGCTCTGCGCAGGCGCAGTGGCCGCTACCGCAGGCAGGGGGCGGCAACATGGCGGAGTGAGCGGCGGCGTCGGGGTTTCACAACAACAGTGGCGCTCGTAGCAGCGGCAGTAGCGGCGTCAATAGCGTCGGCCTCAACCTGAGCTCCAGCACCGGCCAGCGCCGCGGCCAGCTGCTTGCGCCGCAGGTTTTTTCGGAGCGGCAGCAGCAGCATCTCCGCGGGGGGCGGGCCAGGCCGGACGGACCGGGAGGGGGAGAGAGAAGAGGCAGCGGCAGCGGCAGCGGCACAGCTGCTGGGCGGGCACTGCCGCTCGCCCGGCAGCGGTTAGCGGTGCCGCCACCACCGGGAATAAGCCTGCGAATCCCCCACCGCCTCCGCCGGGGAGGGCGCCGGAGCGGGCCGGGCTGAGGCGCAGGCGGGAGCGGGCCCGGCGCCGCGGCGCTGGTGGATGCTGGGGCTCCGAGGCGACGGCCGGGGGGCGGGGGCCGAGGCAGGTATAACGGTACCGGCGGAGGCAGCGCCGCTGCTCTTCCCTTCTCCCCAGGAGGGGGGCCAATGGCGAGCGAGAAGCCGGGCCCGGGCCCGGGGCTCGAGCCTCAGCCCGTGGGGCTCATTGCCGTCGGGGCCGGCGGAGGCGGCGGCGGCAGCGGCGGTGGCGGCACAGCGGGCAGCGGGATGGGGGATCTGAGGGGAGCGTCCAGCTCCGGCTCGGTGGTGCTCCCTGCGGGGATGATTAACCCTTCGGTGCCGATCCGCAACATCCGGATGAAATTCGCAGTGTTGATTGGACTCATACAGGTCGGAGAGGTCAGCAACAGGGACATCGTGGAGACGGTGCTCAACCTGGTAAGGGAACAGGCGTGCTCTCCCTTCTGCCTCCCCAGCCCCCACAGCCTCTATCCCCAGCGCCTCGCGCTCCCACCCCTCCACCCTCACGGTCACACACACAGCGTGTCCCTGGGAGCACAGACCTTCCAGCTGGTATTGCCCAGCGGGTGACTTGCCAGTGCGCTGCCAGAGCCACCCCCACCTCTCTCTGGTCCTTTCCTGCCACCTGAGCGCAGTGCCCAACTTAACACTGCCTCTTATCACTTCTCCCGACGAGTAAATCACTCCTGGTCGTGCAGGTTTTTGGCCCCATTTTAGAGTTTAGTTAGAGGATGAGGAGGCCCCTGTTCTCTGGGGTTCTTTCTCCCACACTTAATTGTCAGTGGTGTCGCCCTCCGAAGATGACAGCCTTGCCCCTGGAGCCTAAATTCCCCGGTGCTACTGAAATGTGAGACGCGCATTAGCTTTCAGCTTGAGCAGCTGGGGTGTGATGTTTTCGAGGGAGGAGGAAAATGATGCAGTTTTGCATGTGTCTTTAATTATTCCGAGGCTATGATGGAGAGTGTTGTGGCCACATCTCTCCTCCCCACCTCTTAGGCAGCCTACTGCTCTTTGTAATATCGCCCTGAATATACTGATTCCTTAGTTGTTTTCTGAGCACACAAGGTGTTAAAATGTGAGGGCACCAAATCATACAGGTTGGTTTCTATGGTTGCCTTCAGAAGCATGGCATGTGGATAAAGAGTAAAAGAAAGGTTTTAAACGCAGCCCTAGATTTTGGTTCCTTTCATGATAAGAAAGAGTTACTGCAGAACTGTGTATGACTTAATGTTTTGCGCTATCCACAGAGAAGCTAAGACGCCTTGAAGATGTCAGGGGAAGAAAGGGAAAGAAATGAGGAGAGGAGGATCATAAATTGAGAATAATTAAGAGTAGTTCATTTTTAGTGCTTTGTAAATGGAGTTTTTGATGCAGCAAAGCTTTTTATATAGTTTCCTCTGCAATAACCAGAAGTCATTGACATATTGTAAGGTTGGGTTTTGGAAGGCAAGGCATAAATTGAGAGCAATCAGTTGACTATTGTATTTGGTGTGGAGTCACAGGAATATAAAAATATGCTCGCAATGGGTTTTTATAACCCATGCAGTCTGAGTTTTAAGCAGAGCAATTGTTTTTATTTCATTTATCGGAAAACTGAAAGAAAGCTGCAGCTACGTTAGCGATGTCCTGAGGTTGGGTTAGATAATGTCTACGGTTTATGAACTTATTAAATTCACAGAAAAGTTGAAGCTTTTTTTTTTTCTTTTTGCTAGTTTGTCAAGTTAAAGATGGAAGATTATATGTCTTTATGTATTGGTTGCTGTTTAAATACAAAAACACCTCTTTGTGTTTTTGTACACCCTTCAAATAAATTACCACAAAAACTCAATGTAAGTTTGGGGGAAATGTCACCACATAGATATAACCAAGTTCTTTTTAAAATGCACTACTAGAAATACAGCTGTCTTGAGAGATTTAATTTTAACTGTCTTCGAATAGGAGGTCAGTATTTGCCTTTTTCTTTTCTTCTAAAAGAAAAGAGGTGAATCTCAGAATGTTAGTAAGTTAGCAGGTAATCTATTTCTATACATGTAAAGGAACACATTTTAAGTTTTTCCGGTTATTGTCCAACCAATACCGTTTTTACATTCGCTGATATGAGGCTATTTTAGTTAAGTATTTGTATGCTTACTGAATACATTTTAACCTGATAAGAGGCATTAGAGCTTTCACAACCTGGAAACTGATTTGAATGTATAACCAGTTTGGACTCTGCAGCAGTAGCAATGTATGCTGAATTAGTTCTTAACAGATGGGGTTCTTTAGATATACAGTATACTAAGAAAGGAAGTGAAATATTTCTCTTGAGGTAAAGAAGAAATTTAACTCTTCAGTGCAGTGAAATTCTGGCATGAAGTCTTCATATGCAGATATTACTTTAGGGAACTTTAGCATCAGCTTATAGTCAGTGGAAATAACATAGAAATGGTATATCCCCAAATTCTCTTAAGACCTTGTAACTGCAGTGATTTTTAGAATAAAAAAGTTAGTTTTAAAATTTCTTTGTGTATATTTAAAGAGTGAAATAGATTTTTTAAATGGAAACTTTTGGGGAAAAAATAAATGACAAAAGGAACTATTTATTATTAAGTTGTTAATTACATTGATTGTAGAATATGAATTATTTATTTGAAGTGTAGTATTTCTTGAATTGTAGGTGGAGGGCTATAATTATTACCAGTATACTCATGATGAAAATGCCATGTGAAAATTTAAGCTGATTCTCAGAAATATGTGGAAACCATAGGCATTTAAGAAATAATTATCAAAACTTAATTCTGCATATTTAATAATCAATAATATTTATTTAGGATACTTAGTGACTTGTGAGAAGTTGGAAACCTTTATTATTATCTTGAAAATTAGTTAAAAAATTTTTCAGTTTTAATTTAAACCATTAAATAGAAATGTTAGGTGAAGTAGTGAAATGTTATTCAGGGTGCCCTGTATCACATAGAAGAAAGGAGAAGTATAAAACTTCAGAAGGAAACAAGCAATACTTTTGTTTCAGTTACCTTTGTCAATATATATTTTTTCTTTTTTCTTGTTCATTTTTTTCTTCTTAGTATAATATGAGAATACCAGTACTACATACTTGGATTTTAGGTGCAATTTCCCACATACATGCCTTGTCCAAAGAATTAAAAGTTTTGCAGAGTGAAGTTTAAGCATGTGGTAAAAAATAGGATCTCTTCAACACAGCTGTGGCTGTAATGTTTTTGCTTTTGTTTCCCAAAGGTAAAGATCTATTCCACTATTCAGGTGGATTGTGGGGGTTTGGTGAAGAATCACTGATGTAATGTGAAATAAAATGAATGATTTTAATCATAGGTACAGGTAATGTGTATAATGATATTATGGTTAACTTAAAACATTCAAATGTGGATGGATAGCGTCAGGGAGATGGGTAAATTAGTTTGTGAATAACATTACAATGAGAGTATTGACAAGGATTCTGGTTGTAGCTCTACTAATGAAAAAAACTGGTCCTCACCTAACTTTGGTTTTAGGAGAAATTATTTAATGTGATCGTACAAGTTTATAAAAAAGAGATTTTATGGGTTTTTTCAGTTGTAAGGCAGGAGTGTTGTAATGCTTAATCTATTGCTTCATTTGCAAACACTTAATATATAATAAAGTTTTACTTCCTCAAAGTAAATGCTGTGTATTTATCATGTTATCTTTGTTTATGATGTGAACTTTTTTATCACAGATTTTTAATATAAACATTTTTTTAAAAGATAAAAATAAAGGATTACATTTACTTTATGAAAGAATTCACAGGATTTTTTAATAGCTTTCTTCTGTAGTATAATTATATAATTATGATTCCAGAATTTAATTATTAATTTATAGATTTTTTTTCACAAATTACTGAATTTATGCTTTTTCATGAAAATTTTTCATGGATTTGTAGGTTTTTTGTGAACTACTATGAAATGTATCAATATGTCTTTTACTGTAGGACAGTAAAATGGTATTTCCTCTGATAATTTTATCTTTTTACATTCTGAGTGACATGCTGTTTGCTGTATTGAAAGCATAGCAAGAAACTTTGAGGGGATTTGTGGGCTACTAGGTTTCTTTCTTCTTGGCATATGGATCATGACATTCTTACAAAAAGAGAAATTTTAAGGTTTTTTTTTGTACTTGAATATGATAGTAACTTACTTGGAATTTTTTTTAATTTTCAGCTTTATTTCATTTTAGAGATATTTAGAATTTCACAAACAAAGGTATATTCTGCATTTGAATTAAAATTGTAAAAAAGTTTACAGTTACATCTTAGAATCATAGAAGTACTTAATACTAATAAAACCACATTTATTTGTATTAAAACAATTTCCTACATTTTAATTTATATTGACATGGAAGTCTTTTCATGTTAGTTTCAATTATTTTTTTCTTGTAATTGGCATAAAAAATAAAATTAAGGATGCATATGTAAATACTAGGAGTTTTAATATCTTAAGCAGTTTTGAGATTTTCCATAAAATATTAATTTAGTCATATAATGATACGAAAGTAGCAAGTATCTTATAATCAGTCTATGATAAAATTATATTAATTTTTAATATTTTGTGTCTTGCTGTCAGTTTTGGGCAGTACTGTGCTGTTAATTAAAAGCATCTCAAGTTTGCCTCTTCTGCTATCCTTTTCCCATACTATAAAGTAATTCATTGGGTCTAGCAGACCCAGCCCCCTTTTTGTATCACCCATGTAGCTATATTATCAAAAATTCAGTCACCTGCACTTTTTACCATTTCCTTAAAACATCTTCCCGCGTCAGTTCCGTGGGTTTTCCGTGTTTGTGTGTTTCTCTTCATGCACTGTCCCCATGTCTCTTTTGCCCCACATACTGCTCTCTGCTATTGTGGTTATTTATGTGTGTTTTTCCTTATAGGCTATGAACTCCACAACCACAAGAACTTAACTTAAACTTAATTAAAAAGGACTGATCTTATTTGCTTTTTGTATTTCTAGCTCTTGGATAAGTTAAGTATATTTTGAATATGCAGTACACCATTGTTTAGCAGTAATGATTAGGACCAGTTTCTGAAGTTATGTTCAGCAGTAGGGTTTAGGACCAGAATCCTCAAGTAAATTAGATTCAGATGAATTTAAAGTATTGTTTATTCCTAAAACTAGAAGTGTCTATTGAATATTTATGTTATATATGTAAACGTTACTATATATGTAAATGCTATTTTGAATTAAGATCTGGGAATAAGAAAGAGTCTGATAAAAACTTTTCAATGTATGATCACATATAAGCACATAACAAAATCATGTTGTTAACAAAGTACATAGTTCATTGACTGGAAATTTAAAAAACATTGTTAGCATTTGTCATATTACCAAGAATAGCAGACATCTCTTGTTTGCATCTATCTGGCATACATTTTCCGTTTTTGTAG